GTGATTTTTTTTTTTAATTTTCAAGACTACGAATTTATTTGTAAATCTATTTTTTGCCGAATTACTATTTTTGGCTCTTTTTGCCCCGTACCGGCTAGACCTGCCTTTGCTAAAAACTAATCACCACGTCTCCCTATCAATAGGAATAGAATGTTTATTGAATCATTCAAATCGGTTGGATCGGTGTTCCCAAAATCGTTGACAAAAATTTGTAACGCACACACACAAACACACATTTTTTCTAAGGTATGCCAAAATGTTCAGAAGGTATTAAAACGTAAAAAAAATCATATTCGAGTTTTTTGCGATTACTATAATTTATCCTGCGATAAGTTAATAAACATTTTTGCATTTCTTTACATTTCAAAGATTTCTGAACATTTTAGCATACCTTGGAAAAAATTGATGTATGTGTACAAATTTTCGTGGACGATTTCGGGAACATTAGTCAATTCAAAAAACATTCGATTCGTATTAATAAGAAGACGTGCTGATTAGTTTTTGGCAAAGGCAGGTCCAGCCGTTTCGAAGATACGGGGCCAAAAAAAACAAAAATGGTAATTGATTTTTTGAGAGAACGGAGCGTCCGATTTGTATAATTCAAAAAACATTTTATTTGTATTGACGAAATGAAGAATTGACAATTGTTTCGGAGATCCAATAAAAAAAAGTGACAAAAAATGCCATTTGGCGGACAAAAATGCTCATTAGACATATGTACATCAAATTATCACATATTTTATAGATATTTTAATAATAAGAACAAATTTTGTTTTCATTTCTATAGGTTCCGTACTAATGCTTATCCGTTAGACTGCAACGCGGCGCTCACGCGCTTTGATATTTGGTTTCTACTCAGCTAACGTATCGCAATTGCTTTGAAAAAAGTTCAAAATTTCCAAAATATTCCAAAATGAAGAAAAAACTTTTTTCTAAAAAAGTCAATTATTGTCAAAAATTTATAGTTTCTCAAAAATCTAATATTTTCAAAGATGTTAATCTTTTTAAAAAAGTAATTTTTGATACGGGAAGTTCCAGCAATTTGCCTTAAGGCACGATGCCATGCACCACTAGTCTTATACTTCCCAAAAATTTTAAAAATCTGAAAAATCGATTTTTCAGAGTTCTAAAAGAAAATTGATTATTTTTAAAAAATTAAATTTTTGGTACGGGAAGTTCCAGCAATTTGCCTTAAGGCACGATGCCATGCACCACTAGTTCTTATACCTCCCAAACATTTTAAAAATCTGAAAAATCGATTTTTTCTAAGTTCTAAAAGAAAATCGATTATTTTTTAAAAATCATAATTTTTGATACGGGAAGTATCAGCAATTTGCCTTAAGGCACGATGCCATGCACCACTAGTTCTTATACTTCCCAAAAAATTTAAAAATCTCAAAAATCGATATTTCCAGAGTTCTAAAAGAAAATTGATTATTTTTAAAAAATTAAATTTTTGGTACGGGAAGTTCCAGCAATTTGCCTTAAGGCACGATGCCATGCACCACTAGTTCTTATACTTCCCAAAAATTTTAAAAATCTGAAAAATCGATTTTTTGTAAGTTCTAAAAGAAAATTGATTATTTTTTAAAAATCATAATTTTTGGTATGGGAAGTACCAGCAATTTGCCTTAAGGCACGATGCCATGCACCACTAGTCTTATACTTGCCAAAAATTTTAAAAATCTGAAAAATCGATTTTTTGTAAGTTCTAAAAGAACTAGTGGGGTGGGTGGCATCGTGCCTTAAGGCAAATTGCTGGAACTTCTTGTACCGTAACGAAATGTTCGAGGAATATTGAATGTTTTCAAATAGATTATTATAAATATTGTAACATTGTCTAATATTTATAAGTATTATATAAACTGAATTGCAAAGTTGAAATTATTTGTTTAAAGTACATTAAAACTATAGTCAGAATTAAAAATAAAATCTGAATTATTTTCGATATACATAAAATTAAAAAAAAAAAAAAAATTAAACAAAAATTTTTTTTTCCAAAAACAATTATTTTGTTAAGACAAGCAGAAAGTTCTTTGAATCATTTAAATCGGACGCTTAGTTCTCTCAAAACTGCCATTTTTACATATTTAGCTCCGTATCTTCAAAATGGCTGGGGCTGCCTTTGCCAAAACTAATAAACACTTCTCCCAATCATTACTATTGAATGTTTTTTAGATCATTCAAATCGGATACTCCGTTCTCTCAAAAAGTCGATTTCTATTTTCTGCACTCTTTGCTCCGTATCTCCGAAACGGCTGGACCTGCCTTTGCCAAAAACTAATCAGCTCTTTTCCCTATCGATAGGAATCGATTGAACCATTCAAATCGGTTGATCCGTACGCCCGAAAACGTGGACGAAAATTTGTATTTATATACATACATACACACACACACACACACACACACATCCATTTAGTTTCTGAGGTATGCCAGTAAAATGTTCAGAAACCTTCAAAACGTCGAGAAATGTAAAAATTTTCAATTCCGATTTTCGGCCCATTACAATAACTTACCCTACGGGAAGTTAAAAATGATTATTTTTCAAAAATCTTAATTTTTGGTACAGGAAGTTCCAGCAATTTGCCTTAAGGCACGATGATGTAGTCATTACCCTTCCACCTACCTTGTACGATTTGCGGTTCAGCCCCAGCGCTATAGTCCAGCATATACAGCTTCCCCTTATTACTCAACAGTAACATTTTCTTCTGCCCGCAAACTATTTTCTTAACACCCAACTCACTCATCCTGATCAAATTTTTATCCTGCCACGGCAGCATGCCCTGGTGTTCAATTCTTTGCTGGTAAACAGGATTCTCCTCACAATTGTTCTTTATCATATCGGTGTAGCTCAAAGTCAGTCTATCGAGATGGCACATGACTATGACTGCCGATTGTTTCAAATCCATGTTGATTGATGCATCGTTCGGTAAAGACAGGAATCTCAGAAAGCATTGTGTAGGTGAAGTGGTGATGTTCAGGTTTTGGTAGTTTTCGTTTTGTTTTAGATTGATGTTGGAGGTTTTTGGGTTTTTGTGATGCTGTTGCAGGTTGCAGATGTCGTCTTCGGGTTCTAGGGCTTCTATTCGTTGCAGGATTGATACTAGAGGTGCTGAAGAGAGCTGGGATGATGACCTAAATAGAAGAGGATATAATATAAGAAGAGGCGTTAAATAAATAAATAATTAATTAATTAATTTTAGAGAGAAAAATCCTATTTGCTGATTTTATGTTTTCTTAACGTTTCAAGTCGTTCTGAATCGAAAGATACCAAATTTGGTAAAAAAAGAGTACGCGTAAGGATCAAACGCGATAGAAGTAAAACTTATTTGCTACTGTACAAGTTGGCATTTAAGTAAAAATAAATTAACAATTTTAAATAATGTTCATTAGTAATATGGTAACTCTCGTGATGCACACATTTATTAGTGTCGACGACCATTATACACATTTATATAATGATAAATTATAAATTATCTTCTATATATATATATATATAAAATAAGTCGGGTTTTCCTTCCTGACGCACGAACCGATTTCGACAATTTTGCATTCGTTGGAAAAGTCTCGGGCTCCGCAAGGTTTATAGCTCAGAAAATTAGTTGTGCATGGCATCGTGCCTTAATGCAAGCTGCTGGAAATTCACGCACCGTAATTAAAAATTCGAGTAATGACATTAGTGAGAATTATCAGAATTATGCTTGGTTAAGTCAACGAGCAATTCTTGCCGCAAAGAATAATGATGTACACGCACTGAATTTCACCATTCAATAAAAAATTGCTGGCGATTTGGTGAGATACCAATGATTCCGACTGGTCTTCCGTTTGACTTCAAACGATTGCAATTTCCAGTTCGTCTTGCGTTCGCAATAACAAGTCGCAAGGGCAATCGCTTAGTGTTTGCGGGATAAATTTTAAATAGATTATTTAGAAAACCATTGTTTTTCACGTTCACGTTGCCTGTTCACGAGTTGGAAAACCATCCGCTTTGTTTGTGTTAACGTCAGACCAAAAAACAAAAAATGTGGTTTACCAAAGAGCACTTCAATGAAACGGATAATTTGCGGATTCACTTTCATTTACTTAGAGAAGTTCAACTAAAAAACACTTCATTTTTGTAATCAAAATAAAATCATTACTGTTGTATAATAAAATCCAATTTTTCCTTTTCAAATATAAAACAAACAAAAAATTACTTCATCTTTCTCACGAAACCATCTGGTGGCGAAACGAAGTTCGTCGGGTTTGCTAGTATATTTATAATACCATTAAAAATATGCATAATATGTAAAAACAATAATGTAATTAAAGCCATACTTCAAATATGACATGATCGGTTGGTCATTGTAATTAGCATTTAGGACTTGGATCTTCATTAGAGAAATGAAGTAATTGTTGATTAATAAATTCTATAATATTCGTTCGCACAGTTATGTTAAACAACGCCTGAACAAATATTGATTTCACAATTTCACTCATCCTGTAATAATTGTGTTTGAAGAACTTCGTGTAATTAAAATTAACATACATTCATTGACTGCTTGTATTTTTTTTACTTTTTTGCTGGCGATATAATGTCATTCTTTGAACACCTGTAATATCTGTCTTGCCTAAAAAATATTACTTATTTCAAAAAATTGTCAAAAAGTCATCAGTTTTAGTATTTGTACGCATAGTAGACATACTAAAGAATATTGTGTGCAAATTTTACATGTTTAGCACAAACGGTTAATTTATGAAAAATAAAACAACTCTACTTGTACAACAAATACAGGGTACTATGTAAATTAGTCATGAGGCGAGTGCACGTTTTAGAAAAATATTTTTTATCTCAAAAAATTGTATAAAAGTCATCAGTTTCAGTATTTGTATTCATAGTAGACATAATCAAGAATGTCATGTGCAAATTTCATAGATTTTGCACAAACGGTGTATTAATAAAAAATAAAAGAACTCTACTTGTACACAAATAAAGTATACTATGTAAATTAGTAATGAGGCGAGCAAATGCACATTTTGGAAAAACATTATTTAACTCAAAAAATTGTAAAAAAGTTATCAGTTTTATAATTTGTACGCATAGTAAACATATTAAAGAGTGTCATGTGCAAATTTTACATGTTTTGGACAAACATGTATGTATTAATGAAAAATAAAAGAACTCATTAAGAAAATAAAAGAATTTTAATAACTTCAAAGATTTATAGAAACTACAAATAATATAGAAATAATTTCTAATCAATAGAGTACCTGGTCTTATAAATATAATAAAATATTATAGTTTAACGTCCAATATTATAAGAAAAGTGTTACAGTTATAAAAATGAATTAAAATTTCGATTATTCGGCCGTGCTTTTAGATAATACTTCGAGTATGTACTAAAAATTTTATTCAAAATTGAATAATCTGCAATTATTTCACACATTATAAAAGGCTCTACAGCAAATCGGTATACTTATAAACCACTCATAAATTAATATATTGATTATATTTACACATGTTGGAAAGTTCGTGAAACTTGCCTTAGGGCAAAATGTTAGTTTATTATGTTATTATCCAAAGTGAAAATAGTGAATGTGATGCAAAATACAATATACACCTAATTATTGAAAATTACCTGTTGTCTTCTGAGCATTCTTTATTCCACAGTGCCAACAATAATGAAACACATTCCAATAAACTTGATAAGACTCCTCGCTGTGCACACAACTCAAACAGCAGACATAGCGATATATTCTGATCAGCCTTTGGTATACCACACTGACCATCACTGAAAAAAAACATATATAAATAAATAAACATACATTTATTATTTTGAAAAAAAAAAAAAATTACACCACTGAGAAGGGGTGTCATCCCCCCTGGAAAGTGGCAAAGGAGTCTAAATTATTTTTACTTTCGAACTTGAGAGTTGGATGAACCTAATTCCAAATTTTCATGCAAATTATATAATTTCATCTGCCAACATATACTGTATCTTATATTATTTTATTTTCTGGCACATCTCAGCTTCTTTTTGGCAATAATAATGTAAACATTAAATTTTTCTTATTCACAATCATGAATTTATTATAAATGTTCTAATATTGTCTAGGCTCATAAGTAAATTGAAATTTCTGACACGTGACAGTTCTAGTTCTCATTTATCAAACTTTTTTCAATGTCAAACAATGACAAAAAATTGCATTTTTTTCCCATTTATTTCTACAATATTACTATATTTACATAATCATTTACATCCTTTAAAAATTCTTTAACAAACTTCAGAAAGATTTATCAAAATATGAATAATCGTTTAGGAGATGTATCTTTACATACATCATTACAGAAAATTTTTATATATACGATTTTTTTTTCTATCTTACCCCAAAACAATTTGTTTCAAGAATTTATGAGATCGATCCAATATTTCTAGCCAAATCGGCGATATAGTATTATGTTTGAACAAACAGGCCATTGGTAAACTTTGTAAGGAGTCTAGGGCTTCTGATAACAGTTCGGTGCAAATGTCTGTGTCCTCGCCTAAAATTAGATTTTTATTAATAATAATTGATATTAAATATAAAAATATAAAAAGGAAAAAATTATATACATGCCAAATCAGGAAAAACACAAAAAATATGTAAAATTTATTAAACACTAAACTTGTGCAAAAGAACATCATAACTAATAATAATTAACACAACTGAATTCAAGGTTACGCGGCACGTGCGGTAGAGTGAGTGGATGCGGGGCGTAAGAAACAAAAGAGGAATGAGAAACAGAGAAAGCAATTTTGTAACTGTCATATATATATATATATATATATATATATATATATATCCATACCTGATCTCCAAGCTCGCCTCAAAAAAGCAAAAGAAAAGCTCAGGGCTGCTCTTGAACCGACACGAGCCAAATCGGTCAGAACTTTTTCATGGTTCGTAGCATCTTTTGCAGAATTTATTTGTTTGACTACATCCTGTAAAAGATGAAGACATATTTATTAACTTCCCAAAGGAGAAGTTTATGTTTTCATCAAAAAATCCGACTCGCTAATGTTATGTTTTCTCGACATTTCTAGCCATTCTGAATCGAATGAGGCCAAATTTGGAAAAAGTATGTATAGTGTGAACAAATTTTTTGCCGTAAATCGACGTTTTCTCAAAAACGGCTGGACCGATTTCAAAAATTTAAAAGCCATTCGATGTATCTCCATGAGGACTATTGTTTGTCAGTTTTGCGCGATGATCGGCCAAGCCGTTTCTTTGTAAATAGCAGAAAAATGAAAAAATTTTCGTCCACGTTTTAGCCCGCAATTCTGAATAGATTTTAAAAATTCCAAAAACTTTCAAAAGATATTTGTTGAGAATCGTGCTGATTAGTTTTTGGTAGAGATCGGCAGGGACGTTTTCTTGTAATGAAGTGTTGAAAACATTTTTTTCGGCGATTTTTATTATTTTTTTTTGACGGTAGATACCATAGTCTTCTAGATCATACTAAAATATTTCCCGCCCTACGACAAGTCATTTAATTTTAAAAACTCGTCAGTTTGCAAAAATTAGTATCGTTTTTTGGCGTTTGTCAAAATTAGAACTTTCATCGAGTTTGCTCAAAAACGCCTGAACCGATTTCAAAAATTTAAAAGACAATCGATGTATTTTAATGTAGATTATCTTTACTTAGTTTTGTGCGACGATCGGCGGAGCCGTTTCTTTGTAAATAGCCGAAACGTTAAAAAAAATATCCACGTATTAGCCCGAAATTTCGTATCAATTTTAGCAATTCAAAAACTTTTAAAAAAATATTGGTTGGTAAAGATCAACCGGGGCGTTTAAATTAAATATTAAAAAAAAATGACGATTGATAAAACTTTGTATGACAATAGATTACGTAGTGTGAAATAACATACTAAAATATATTATAAAAAATCATGAAAGTTTAAAATTTCACCGCGCACTTAAAAGATTCTAAGAAGAATCATATTATATAACTATCATATTATACAATTACAGATATTATTAGTATGTTTGAAAAACTTTATTTGGAAATTTCATGGATTAATTTTTATTAAAAGCCAAAACAAATATTTTCGAAATAAACAGTTGACTAATTTTACCTAAACAGCTACATTTCAATTCTTATTGATTAAGTTTATAATGTACTTCTCGTAGGGTAAGTTATTGTTATCGTCCAAAAATCGAAAATGAAAATTTCTACATTTCTTCAGGTTTCGAAGATTTCCTCATAATAAAAAAATGGATGTGTGTGTGTGTGTGTTTTGTATGTCCACGTTTGCGGGCGCACGGATCAACCGATTTGAATGGTTCAAAAAACATTCGATTCCTATTGATAGGGATATGTGCTGATCAGTTTTTTGGCAAAGGCAGGTCTAGCCGTTTCGGAGATACGGAGCAGAGAGTGCAGAAATTAGATATCGAGTTTTTGAGCGAACGGAGCATCCGAATTGAACGATCCAAAAAACATTCGATTCCTATTGATAGGGAGATGTGCTGATTATTTTTTGGCAAAGGCAGGTCCAGCAGTTACGGAGATACCGAGCTGAATGTGCAAAAAATGGCAGTTTTTGAGAGAACTAAGCATCCAATTTGAAGGATTCAAAAAACTTTCTGTGTTGACAAAACGATCGTCTTTGGGAACATTTTTTTTAATTTCTTTTTTTTTTTCATTTTCCAAAAAAAATTTTTGAATATCGAAAATAATTCGAATTTTAATTTTAATTCTAGCTGAAGTTCTAACGCTCATTTATCTTCAAATAAATTGTTTTAACACAATTGGTATTTAGTTTATATAATTCTTATTAATATTAGGCAATGTCCTTCATTTTAAATCCGATTGATTAAATTTTATTTATTTACTTCTCTGTAAACATATATATGTTACAGTATTTATAATAATCTATTTGAAAACATTTAATATTCCTCGAATATTTCATTACGATACTGGAATTACCAGTAAATTTGCCTTAAAGTACGATGCCATGCACCACTAGTTACTTTTATTACTATTCCTTTACCTTATGACTATTGAAGACACTAGCAGAATCCACACTTTTAACAGCATCAGCACCATATTTATTATCGTAATTGAAAAGATTCCTGCAAACAGCCGCCATGTACCTCTGCATGATGGTGACCCTTTGTGTGATGCGAATAGAAGACAAACAAGTTCCTGCAGCATTCTGTGAGATCGTATCCAGTTCGTGTAGAATGGATTTGATGCAATCTTGTTTCTGTTCGGTTGCTGTAATAGACAGATTGATAATTTATTTATTTATTTATTTATTAACTTCCCGTAGGGCAAGTTATAGTAATCGCAAAAAAATCAAAAATGAAAATTTTTACATATCTTTACGTTTCAAAACCTTCTGAACATTTTGGCATACCTTAGAAAAAATGGATGTATGTGTGTGTGTGTGTGTGTGTGTGTGTGTGTGTGTGTGTGTGTGTGCGTGTGTGTATGTATGTGCGGATACAAATTTTCGTCGACGATTTCGGAAACACCGATCAACCGATTTGAATAATTCAACTAGCTGTAAGTGGAATTCTGTCTTAAGGCAATTAAGGCATCGTGCCTTAAGGCAAATTGCTGGAACTTCCCGTACCAAAAATTATTATTTTTTTAAAAACGATTAACATTTTTGAGAAAAATTTACTTCGAAAAAATAAGATTTTTGACAAACAATTAGACAAACTAGCTGTAAGTGGAATTCTGTCTTAAGGCAATTAAGGCATCGTGCCTTAAGGCAAATTGCTGGAACTTCCCGTACCAAAATTTTTTTTTTAAAAACGATTAAGATTTTTGAAAAAAATTTACTTTGAAAAAATAAGATTTTTGAGAAACTATATATTGGACAAAAAATTACTTTTTTTTGAAAAAAAAAAATTTTTTTATTTTTTTTAAAAAAAAAAAAATGTTTTATTTTATTTTGACATATTTTGGAAGATCTAAACTTTTTTTCAGAGCAATCGTACTGCTTTAACTGCATAAAGACGAAATATCAAAGCCCGTAAGCGCCGCGTCGCCGTCTAACGCGTAAACATTGGTACGGAACCCATAGAAATGTAAAAAAAATTTATACTTATTGTTAAAATCTCTATAAAATATTTGATAATTTGATGTGCATATGTCTAATGATCATTTTTGACCGCCAAATGGCATTTTTTTTTACTTTTTTCATCAGATCTCCAAAACCGTTAGACCTGCCTTCATGAAAATTTGATCAATTCTTTATCTTGTCAATACAAGTAAAATGTTTTTTAAAATATTCAAATCGGACGCTCCGTTCTCTTAAAAACTGAGTTACCGTTTTCGGCACTTTTTGCCCCGTATCTTTGGAACGGCTAGACCTGCTTTCGCCAAAAACTAATCAGCACGTCTCCTTATTAATACGAATCGAATGTTTTTTGAATTATTCAAATCGGTTGATCCGTGTTCCCGAAATCGTCGACGAAAATTTGTATCCGCACATACATACACACACGCACATACATACATACATACATACATACATACATACATACATACATACACACACACACACACACACACACACACATACATCCATTTTTTCTAAGGTATGCCAAAATGTTCAGAAACCTCTGAAACGTAAAGATATATAAACATTTTCATTTTCGATTTTTTTGCGATTACTATAACTTGCCCTACGGGAAGTTAAAAATTACTTTTTTTTAAAAAAAAAATTTTTTTAATTTTTTTTTTAATTTTTTTTTTTTTTTGAAAAAAATGTTTTCTTTATTTTGACATATTTTGAAAGATCTAAACTTTTTTTCAAAGCAATCGTACTTTTCAAATATCAAACCGCGTAAGCGCCGCGTCGACGTCTAACGCGTAAACATTGGTACGAAACCCATAGGAATGTAAACCAAAATTATACTTATTGTTAAAATCTCTATAAAATATCTGATAATTTGATGTGCATATGTCTAATGATTATTTTTGACCGCCAAATGGCTCATTTTTTTACTTTTTCCTCCATATCTCCGAAACCGCTAGACCTACCTTTATGAAAATTTTATCGATTCTTCATCTTGTCAATACAAGTGAAATGTTTTTTGAATTATTTAAATCGGACGCTCCGTTCTCTTAAAAACTGAGTTACCGTTTTCGGCACTTTTTGCCCCGTATCTTCGGAACGGCTAGACCTGCCTTTGCCAAAAACTAATCAGCACGTCTCCTTATCAATACGAATCGAATGTTTTTTGAATTATTCAAATCGGTTGATCCGTGTTCCCGAAATCGTCGACAAAAATTTGTATCCGCACGTACATACACACACGTACATACATACACACACACACACATACATCCATTTTTTCTAAGGTATGCCAAAATGTTCAGAAACTTTTGAAACGTAAAGATATATAAAAATTTTCATTTTCGATTTTTTTGCGATTACTATAACTTGCCCTACGGGAAGTTAATAATAAGCAGTCATCAATAGAATTTATTTTGAGATATAGTTTGAGATCATCTGCAAATAATAAATGTGGACAGCTAATAATATCAGATATGTCATTAACAAAAATAAAAAGTAGTAGTGGACCAAGAATGGATCCCTGAGGAACACCTGAACTGATATTTTCAATGTTACTCAAGGATCCATTAAGATAGACAAACTCTTTACGATTATGAAGATAACTCTTAAAAAAATAAATAAGTGAAGAATTAAGACCAATTGTAGATAATTTAGTAAGAAGAATGTTATGATCAATTTTGTCAAAAGCTTTACTGAAGTCAATGTAAATAACATCTAACAACTTGTCCATTTGTGTCAAGATTCTCAGCTATATATTGTTTAATACAGATTAAATTTGTTATCGTAGAACGGGCAGGCATGAATCCATGTTGATTAGTAGAAATTAAAGTTCTAACAGAAGGAATTAGTTCTCTATAAATAATTTTCTCAAATACCTTAGCAAAGTTTGATAATAATGATATCGGACTGTAATTAGTAATGTTTGATGTATCACCCTGTTTAAAAGTTGGAACTAATCATGAAATTTTCCAATAATTTGGAAAAGTGTTTGTACGCAATGATAGATTAAATAAAAATGCAAGTGGATTAGATTGAGCAGATGAGCAATCACGTGTAAAGAAAGATGGAATACCATCGAAACCAAATATTTTGGAGTTCTTAAAACTTGCTATTGCGAGTTGCTAATAATGATAGAAGATAAGGAGAATAGAAGATAACCATGTGATCGATTTTTGTTAAAAAAAATAGACTCCATTCCTTCTTGTTGATATGTGGTGATATCATAGACATTACACTACATGGACTGCTAGTCCACTTATGTTTTTCATTGTATATAGTGCTCAAACATAAAAGGGACTGTTTCTGAAATATCTTTATTATAAAACATATAAAATTTACCCTGAAAGTGGCTTTGACCACAACACTTTACTAAATGAATTTGGTATTCCTTCCCTTGCCTCACGTCGATTTATCTGTACAATTATGTTCTTATTTAAACTTTGCAATAATTCTACAGACTGTCCTCTTATTCTCAATCAACTATCCTTTAATGTTCCAAGGCTATCTACGCGTTCACAATTATTTTTCAATTATCCTACTCCTAAATCTAATTTACTCTTAAATTCGCCTATTCTGCTTATGTCCTCTAACTTTAACTTAATGATGTCACATATCTGAGCAAACATTATCCGAGCAAACATTACCGAAAAATGTCTATGAATAAATATTTTATCCACATTTCTAAATTTCAATCTATCAGAAAGTTTTTGCAAACTGCCTTAAAACAAAATGTCATTTTTTATTACTTACAAGGTGGTGGTCCCCATAGCCAAGTGTCCATGTACTGTTCAGACGGTATGTACTCATTTTGTCCTTTAATAACAGATATTTCTTCATCTAATGCTTTGCAAGCTGAGCAGTTACAACCTTTGTTAGGTCCACAAATTCCATCGCAGCATAAACAATTTAATACCTGAAATAACAAAACAATTAGCAACAAATATATATAAATAAATATATATATATATATATATATATATATATATATCTGTTAATATTTCCTTTACCATCATTCCGCAGTAATGTTTCCCACTCTCCGAAAGCTTTGCCAAGCCCCCATTGGCATTAACAGTGCCTTCACTAAACGGTCCAACAAGTTCTCCATCGCTTATCAAAGTATTCCACAGGCTATTCAAGTGCTCTTCTGAATGTATTATAAATTGAGGATCTATTCTCAGCCATTTTTTATCAAACCTAGATTGAGGACATAATGCATATTTTCTATTATACATTATTTCCACGTGACGAGAGAAAGAATTTTGGAAAAAGAAGTTTTGGTGCAATTTAATTCACAAAGTTACATTTTAGTTAGATTTTTCTAAAAGGAATGTAAGGTAGATTATTGGTTTTGAAGATGATTTAATTTTTATGATTGTGTGGCTTTAATATTATCACAAAATTTCAATTTGAAAATAATCCTGCAATTTTTTTGACATCGCCATATTTTCAAAACAATCAATGAAGCATCTGTCAAATTTGACAGCTCGATAGATGTGAAGTTGGGAGCTAGAATTAGGTTTAGACGGAGAGTCGGTAACAGTTTGAATTCAAATTAAGAAAACATAAATAAATACATAATTAATTATGTGTTTTGAAGTAAAACTTCTTTAGGCGCGACTGAGGTGTAAATCCGTACAAATGCAACGGAAATGCGTTACGCCAGAACTATACGTCATTCGCTTTTGATGAAATCATTTCTATACGGGTCAAATTTGATTAGTCGTCGTGTATGTGAATAGAGATCTGTTGTTGTATACGTACCGGCATCAACGTTGTATGCGTACCGATATCGACAAGAAAATCGGCATAGATAAATAAACATTTTAAAGTTACATCGTAGTACAAATGTTGATTTAATGAAAAATTCCTGAATCAGGAGAATATTTTACCTTGTCCCTTGAAAATAACAAAACAAATTAAACATTATTGCCGTGTACTAAACGTAAGTTTATTGATTAGAAATTATTTCTATATTATGCGTAGTTTCTATAAATCTTTGAAGTTATTAAAATGGAAATATTTTTTTGGAAAGACAGATTCTACAGCTGCTCAAAGAATGAGAAATGCTTATTTATCTATGAATGAGACTGTATCGCCAGCAAAATAGTAAAAAAAATACAAGCAGTCAATGAATGTATGTTAATTTTAATTACATGAAGTTCTTCAAACACAATTATTACATGATGAGTGAAGTTGCGAAAACAAAATTTGTTTAGGCGTTGTTTAACATAATCCACTGTGTGAACGAATATTATAGAATTTATTAATCAGCATTTACTTCATTTCTCATCTAATAAAGGTTCGAGTCCTAAATGCTAATTGCAATGACAAACCGATCATATCGTATTTGAAGTATGACTTTAATTACATTATTGTTTTTAAATATTACACATATTTTTAATGGTATTATAAATATATAATTTAAAATTTACCATTATATAAATGTGTATAATGGTCGACACTAATAAATGTGTGCATTACGAAGTGTTACCATATTACTAATACAAATTATTCAAAATTGTTATTTGATGTATTTATTTTCACTTAAATGCCATCTTGTACAGTAGCAAAGAAGTTTAACTTCAATCACGTGTGAACCTTACGCGCACTCTTTTTAACTTCCCGTAGGGTAAGTTATTGTAATCATCCAAAAATCGAAATTGAAAATTTTTGCATTTCTCGACGTTTTGAAGGTTTCTGAACATTTTGGCATACCTCAGAAAATGATGTGCGTGTGTATGTATGTATGTATGGATACAATTTTCCAGTCACGTTTTCGGGCGCACGGATCAACCGATTTGGATGGTTCAAAAAACATTCGATTCCTATTGCTAGAGAGATGTGCTGATTAGTTTTTGGCAAAGGCAGGTCCCGCCGTTACGGAGATAAAGAGCAAAGAGTGCAGAAAATAAAAATCGAGTTTTTGAGAGAACGGAGCATCCGATTTGAATGATCTAAAAAACATTCAATTAGTAATGATTGGGAGAAGTGTTTATTGGTTTTTGGCAAAGGCAGGCCTAGCTATTTCGGAGATACAGAGCTAAATGTGCAAAAAATGGCAGTTTTTGAGAAAACTGAGCGTCCGATTTAAATGATTCAAAGAACTTTCTGCTTGTTTTAACAAAATAATTGATTTAAGAAAAAAAATTTGTTTCAAAAATTTTTTTTTCAAATTTTTTTTTTTTGTATATCGAAAATAATTCAGATTTCATTTTAAATTTTGACTATAATTCTAATATACTTTAAACAAATAATTTCTACTTGCAATTCAGTTTATATAATTCTTAAAAATATCAGACAATGTTACAATATTAATAATAATCTATTTGAAAACATTCAGTATTCCTCGAACATTTCGTTACGGTACGGGAAGTTCCAGCAATTTGCCTTAAGGCACGATGCCACACACCCCACTAGTTTTGTTTGAAATATTATGACTGAGTACAGTTTAATACGAAAGATGCATTTTAATAAAATTTGTAACAATATCTATGAATCTTATAATATAAAAACAAATTTATTTATATAAATTTATTCATAGTATTAAATATTTGTACAGCAGCAATTAAATTTACAATGCAAATAAAATATAAGTAATTCATAGAAATTTCTGCTTTCTGCTTGTTAATATTTCATTGATCTTCATCATGTTTTCCATTATGAACAGCCACCTTGTGATTCTTCAAGCCGCCCAATCGCGCAAATGCCTTATTGCATGTATCACATTTGAAAGGGCGTTCCCCTGTATGAATACGCATGTGCTTATTCAAGTCTCCAGATTGTTTGAATGCTTTTTTGCATATTTGACATTTGAAAGGGCGTTCTCCTGTATGAATACGCATTTGTAATTTCACACTACCTTTTCGTGCAAATGTCTGATTGCATATTTCACATTTAAAAAGACGCTCTTTGGTATGACTGATCATGTGTGATTTCAAATTACCTTTTTGTGTGAATGTCTTATTGCATATTTCACATTTGAAAAGATGCTCTTTGGTATGAATAACCATGTGTAATTTCATAAGTCCTTTTTGTGTGAATGTCTGATTGCATATTTCACATTTAAAAAGACGCTCTTTGGTATGAGTGATCATGTGTGATTTCAAATTACCTTTTTTGTGAATGTCTGATTGCATATTTCACATTTGAAAAGACGCTCTTTGGTATGAGTGATCATGTGTGATTTCAAATTACCTTTTTGTGTGAATGTCTTATTGCATATTTCACATTTGAAAAGACGCTCTTTGGTATGAATAACCATGTGTAATTTCATAAGTCCTTTTTGTGTGAATGTCTGATTGCATATTTCACATTTAAAAAGATGCTCTTTAGTATGAGTGACCATGTGTGATTTCATATTACCTTTTTGTATGAATGTCTTATTGCATATTTCACATTTGAAAAGATGCTCTTTGGTATGAATAAGCATGAGTGATTTCATATTAAATTTTTGTGTGAATGTCTTATTGCATATTTCACATTTGAAAAGACGCTCTTTGGTATGAGTGATCATGTGTGATTTCATATTATCTTTTCGTGTGAATGTCTTATTGCATATTTTGCATTTGAAAGGGTGTTTTCTGTATGAATAAGCATATGTCTTTTCAAAGTGCTTTTATCTTTCAACTTCTTATGACAGATTTTGCATTCGATAGTGCGTTCTGTGCTATGAGTAATCATGTGCTGTTGCAATTTTGATGAATATTTAAATGTCTTATCGCATACATTGCATTTATGGTTGCCATTTTTGCCATTTCTAGGTATTTGGTCAACCATGTGCTCTTTCAAATAATTAGATTCTGTAAATGATCTATTACTAATGTCATATTCACAACTGGGTGTCTCAATTACCTCTTGTTTGATTTCTTCTTCAATAGTTATTTCAGAATTCATAAATCTTTCCAGACAAGTTTCATTATCTTCTAAACATGATTCAGACTTAACAATACCTTCAAAATCACATTCACTATCAAGTTTTATGTCTTCCATTGAAAGTTCTAGTGGCTCAATTTTAATTTTCTGATCATCATCAACCATGTGCTCGTTCAAATAATTAGATTCTGAAAATGATCCATTACTAATGTCATATTCACAACCGGGTGTCTCAATTACCTCCTGTTTGACTTCTTCTTCAATAGTTACTTCGGAATTCATAAATCTTTCCAGACAAGTTTCATCATCTTCTAAACATGATTCAGACTTAACAATACCTTCAAGATTTCCATTACATTCATTTTCAAGTTTTATGTCTTCTACTGAAAGTTCTAGTGGCTCAATTTTAATTTTCGGATCATTCATAATTGTTTCTTCAGACATTTTCACTGTGTATAGTATCTTTTTCAAATATCTCAAATATTATATTCAATCTAAATATACTTGCATTTGTTGTATATAATCTTCCGGCTGCTTAAAATGATATTAACACTTTACACGCTTTTTTATCTATAACACGGTTATGGTCGTTCCGAAATCCGAATTCAAGTTGGCATTTCGAGCATAGAGTATCTTTTGATAAAGACGCGTTCAGAAGAATTAGTTAGGGGACATATTGTAGTCGCAAATTTGGCGCTAGTGAGCCGATGAAAAACTATTGTCAAATGTTTTATGTTGGTCTTTACGTTTCAAGGGTTTTTAAACATTTTGAAAAAGCAATTATTTTGTTGAAACAAGCAGAATGTTCTTTGAATCATTTAAATCGGACGCTTAGTTCTCTCAAAAACTGCCATTTTTACACATTTAGCTCTGTATCTTCGAAATGGCTGGTCCCGCCTTTGCCAAAAACTAATCACCTCTTCTCCCAATCATTACAAATTGAATGTTTTTTAGGTCATTCAAATCCGATACTCCGTTCTCGCAAAAACTCGATATTCATTTTCTGCACTCTTTGCTCCGTATCTCCGTAACGGCTGGACCTGCCTTTGCCAAAAACTAATCAGCACATCTCCCTATCAATAGGGATCGAATGTTTTTTGAACCATTCGAATCGGTTGATCCGTGCGCCCAAAAACGTGGACGAAAAAATGCGGACATACAAAACACACACACATCCATTTTTTCTGAGGTATGCCAAAATGTTCAGAAACATTCAGAACGTCGAGAAATGCAAAAAATTTTCAATTTCGATTTTCTGCCCATTACTATAACTACCCTACGGGAAGTTAATTATGAATTCCTAAAAACAATAGTTTCGTCAAGCAGAAAGGTTTTTGAGTCATCAAAATCGGATGCTTAGTTCTTTCAAAAACTGCTACTTTTTGCACATTTAACTCCGTATTTCCAAAACAGCTGGTCCTGCCTTTGCTAAAAACTAATCACCACTTTCCTCCATCATTACAAGCATAATGTTTGTTGAATCATTCAAATCGGATGCTCCTTTCTCACAAAAACTCGACTTTTTTTGCACTCTTCATTCTGTGTCTCTAAAACGAGTGGACCTGTTTTTGACAAAAACTAATCAGCACATCTCTTAATCAATATCAATTTTTCAATTAATCAAATCGGTTGATCTATGCGCCCTAAATCGAGGACGAAAAATTGTATCCAAACATACATACAAACACATTTTTTTTAAAGTGTATGCCAAAATGTTCAGGAACCTCTGAAACGTGGAAATATGCAAAAAAAATTATTGACGATTTTTAGACGATTACAATAACTTACCCTACGCAAAGTAAATAAATATAACATTTCTTCATAGTTCTTAATATTAGGTTGTCAAATATCTCCCTTCCGCTTTTTTGCATTGCATTGCATACAAAAAGGCGGAAGGGAGATATTTGACAACCTAATATATTGTATATTAATTGATCGTAAAAAAACAATTATTTTTTTAAATAAATCGAAGAAATGTTAATATTTATTTGAATAACCTTATGTTTGTTTGCAACCTTTAGACAAACCCACAAAAAATATACACACCTAATTAATCTTAAAACAATATTTAATTATATCAAGCATAATTGCCAAATCTGTTACCAGCTCTTCATCTACATGACAGATCCTTCAAGAACCATAACCTCAAAACTGTTCTTTTCGCATTTCATAATCAATTTTGCTGAAAAGTACTATAAAATACTATATGATTGCACGATAAACTTAATAATAACGATATAGATTAAGAAATAGTAATATAGATGCCTTTTGTGAGTCGTACATTACGCTCTTTTTTGAGTAAGTGGCCAGGACGACGTAAATTTGGATTCTATAGTTTTTTACCAATATTCTTTGTATTGGGTGCTGCGCTAGAATTCTCTATGATAAAGTGGCAAGTCGGGGAAACGAACTTCTGTACGTAATAATAGACACATGAAAACTAACCTATAAAACTTGTAAAAATTCTTTCTTTAACAGAAAGGTAAATCTTTCTATTTACCTGAGTCTTTTCCTCTTCAGATAAAGTTTACAAGCGTCGCCAAGCCAAAACCATAGTTGAAGAAAAACTTGCCCTCGACAATCCAAATTTAAAACTATAACTATTACAATGCCTGCCGGAGTATCCTGGGGTCAATACCTCAAATTCATGAGTGCAGCTTTACTGACAATGTTTGCCGGTTCACAACTCGTACACATGTACTACAGGCCCTTAGACGATTTAGACAAATACATAGAGGAGGAGTATCAGAAACAAAAACAAATGAGGAGTAAAGATACATCTTCTTGATTTAATCGTTATAATGTAGTGTGTAATTAAAATTTAAATATAAATACAAAATAGTGTGTTTTTTTATTATTATTATTATTATTATGATGTAGGTACGTCTAATTGGTTTAAAATATCACGAGCTTTTGTTTTTAGAGCGTTTTGACCGCTTGTTTGGAGCACCGTTTGCAGTTGTATCATGTACTCATCAATGTTTTGTAAAGTAGCACCATCGAAACCTGCACAAAATAATAAATAGTCACACAATCACACTTTATTAGAAGGGACTTATTTTGGCGCATAATAGACAAATGTTATGGCAAGGCCATGTTATGAAGGACTTTCCATACTAAATATTAGGTTGTCAAATATCTCCCTTCCGCTTTTTTGCTCTTGGTTTATAATACAAAAAGGCGGAAGGGAGATATTTGACAACCTTATATTAACAAAAGCCATGCGGTTGCTCTGCAGTCAGGCATATTTCTCCGGTTGTCAGATAGAAAACATAACCTAGAAATTGCACATTATTTTAGATAACAGGGTCTTTCTGACTCAACTTCATAACATACGAGTAACTAGGGAATGCAATACCGATGGAAAATTTCATTACCGGTATTTCGGTAATTTTTCATTTTAAAACCGCAAAACCGGTAAATTACCGGTATTTTTATTATCTTAAACAAACGTAAACAAAATTGAAAGTTACTAGTACAAATATAAAAAAATGAATATACAACTACAACTATATTCAACTAAACAATAAAAACAATAAAATAAAACAATAGGTTTATTTTTTTAACTAATAATTTAACAAAATTATATCCAATTTAATTAATTCATTATCACTATCGTGTATATTGAGTACTTTTCACCAAAAACAAACTTATGAGTAAGAAAAACCAAAAACTCATAAAGATCATATTACATTATTATAATAAACTGTATTTTCTGTATCCGATGTGTTAAATTAGCATAATTTCCAATATTTTAAAAAATCCTTTTTCAACATTTATTTAAGATATGATACTTTATCGAGATAAATAATAAGATACTATAATTGTTGAGTATTGTTATTTAAAACAATGTGTTGGTTCTATAGTATTTTCAAACTTCGAAATGTTTTCGAAAAATAATATTTTATAATTGTAATAAGAAGCAAAAATATTTAGTAATTATCATAATTATTATGTATAAAGTAAAAAAAAAAAATATTACGCAGGGGTAATCTGTATGATATAAAATATTTTGGCGCAAATATCACTTAAAAAACCGTTACATTTTTACATAAGATGAAACAAACACCATTATCTATCAGTCCAATTCTATTTATTGTAACACGATATGAAACCCTTTGGAAAGCAATAAATATTCAGTTTAATGACGAGTTGAGATAATATTCGACATTTGTTTATCCTATAGAATCACTTGAAGATATGGCTGTTTATGCGATTATGGAATTTAAAGATAAATTTGTTCTGAGAAATTTAAACTTCAGTGTATTATGTATCAAATAGCGCTTATGTAAAAATACCGGTATTTTTGGGGTAAATAGCGGTAAAAATACCGCCGAAAAATCGGGCGGTTTACCGGTAATTCGGTATACCGGTAAACCGGTATTGCATTCCCTACGAGTAACGTTGCAGTTTATGTGTAATACGCCCGAATGCGCAGCAAATACATGACATTTTGACAGTATTCAGTATGATTCATTACCATAATGTATGTAATTTGAAGCATAACGTAGCCTTGCCATAACATTGGTCTGTTATGCGCCAGAATCAGTCCCTAAATATCTTTTTTATTATTATTATTACCTGTTATCGCAAAGTCTTTAAATCCATCAACCAACCCCGTCCGCAATTTCTCCAAATGATTCCCAAGAATTACGTTACTAGATTTGTGACCTTCCGTTTCAGCCTCCAATTTATCAATGGCCATTCTCATATTTTCGATATGCTTTTGCAAAATTGCATTTTGCTGTTCGTAGTCTGTGTTGGACTTTCGTAATTGACGTAGTTCTGTTTCTCTGATCTGATAATAAATAATAATAGAATACATTTTTAACTTCCCGTAGGCAAAAAAATCGAAAATGTAAATTTTTGCATATCTTTACGTTTCAGAGGTTTCTGAATATTTTGGCATACCTTAGAAAAAATGGATGTATGTGTGTGTGTGTGTGTGTGTGTGTATGTGTGCGTGCGTGTGTATGTGTGTTCGGATACAAATTTTCGTCGTCGATTTCGCGAACACGGATGAAGCGATTTGAATAAATCAAAAAACATTCGATTCGTATTGATGGAGAGACGTGCTAATTAGTTTTTGGCGAAGGCAGGTCTAGCGGTTTCAAAGATCTAGTGAAAAAAGTAAAAAAAAATGTCATTTGCCAGTCAAAAATGATCATTAGACATATGCACATAAAATTATCAGATATTTTGTAGAGATTTTAACAATAAGTATGTAAATTTTGTTTACATTCCTATGGGTTCCGTACCAATGTTCATCCGGTAGACGGCGACGCGGCGCTTACGCGCTTTGACTTTGAGAATTTCCAAAATATGTCAAAATAAAGAAAACATTTTTTTTTCAAAAAAAATTTTTTTTTCAAAATAAGTAATTATATATAGTATATAGTATTATATATAGTTTCTCAAAAATCTATTTTTTCGAAGTAATTTTTTTCAAAATGTTAATCGTTTTTAAAAAAATAGTAATTTTTGGTACGGGAAGTTCCAGCAATTTGCCTTAAGGCACAACACCATGCGCCCCACTAGTTTATCTTTTTTTGCATCCCAGACTAGTTCTTTTGTCTGAGTATGCCGGAATCAATACCGCCTGGATATAATACTTACTAAAACCTCGTGGGGGTAGGATCTAGAATGTTATCATTCTTGCACTGAAATTATACTCATCTTCTAAATGAGCAAGGTCCCATTCATTATGTATGTATGTATGTATGTATGTGTGTGTTTATGTGTGTGCGTGTGTGTGTGTATATGTGCGGATACAAATTTTCGTCGACGATTTCGGGAACACCGATCTATCAATTTGAATAATTAAACTAGTGGGGTGAATGGCATGTGCCTTAAGGCAAATTGCTGGAACTTCCCGTACCGTAACGAAATGTTCGAGGAATATTAAATATTTTGTCTATGGCATCGTGCCTTAAGACAAATTGCTGGAACTTTCCGTAATAAAATATTCGAGGAGTAATAAATAGTTTCAAATAGATTATTATAAATACTGTAACTTTCATTATTTGTATTTTATAGACTAAATATATAAAAGCTTATAAATTAGACGACGACTTTTATATATGCTTACATGAAAAGTAAATAAAACAAATCAAGTGGAGTTAGAATGAAGGACCTTATCTTATATTTCTAAGAATTATATAAAATGAATTGAAAAGTTAAAATTATTTATTTCTAAGCAAGTTTAAAATTAACTAGTGGGGTGGGTGGCATCGTGCCTTAAGGCAAATTGCTGGAACTTCCCGTACCGTAACGAAATGTTCGAGGAATACTGAATGTTTTCACATAGATTATTATAAATATTGTAATATTGTCTAATATTTATAAGAATTATATAAACTAAATTGCAAAGTAGAAATTATTTGTTTAAAGTATATTAGAACTATAGTCAGAATTAAAAATAAAATCTAAATTATTTTCGATAAAGTTTAAACAATTTTTTTTCCAAAATCAATTACTTTGTTGAAACAAGCAGAAAGTTCTTTTAATCATTTAAATCGGACGCTTAGTTCTCTCAAAAACTGCCATTTTTTACATATTTAGCTCCGTATCTTCGAAATGGCTGGGCCTGCCTTTGTCAAAAACTAATAAACACTTCTCCCAATCACTAATTTAATGTTTTTTATATCATTCAAATCGGATACTCCGTTCTCTCAAAAACTCGATTTCTATTTTCTGCACTCTTTGCACTTTATCTCCGTAACTGCTGGACCTGCCTTTGCCAAAAACTAATCAGCACATCATCATGTTTTTTGAACCATCCAAATCGGTTGATCCGTGCGCCCGAAAACGTGACTGGAAAACTGTATCCATACATACACACACACACACACACACACATCCATTTAGTTTCTGAGGTATGCCAGTAAAATGTTCAGAAACCTTCAAAACGTCGAGAAATGTAAAAAATTTCAATTTCGATTTTCGGCCCATTACAACAAAAAAAAAGCCATTTGGCAATCAAAAATGATCATTAGACATATGCACATCAAATAATCAGATATTTTATGGAGATTTTAACAATAAGTATACATTTTGTTTACTTTTCTATGGGTTCCGTAGCATCGTTTGTCCGTTAGAAAGCGACGCGGCGCTTACACGTTTCGATATTTCTCATCTCTAACTTTGCAGATAAAGCAGTGCGATTGCTTTGAAAAAATATATATAACAAAAATATTTTTATCCAAGTTTTTTTATCAAAAAAAGTCAATTTTGTTCAAAAATTCAAAATTTCATAAAAATCTAATTTGTAAAAAAAATTTAATTATTGGTACGGAAAGTTCCAGCAATTTGCATTAAGGCACGATGCCATACACCACTAGTTCATATATATTATCAAGTGAAAACGGACATCGCTACTGCATGATATCAAGTTGCCCAAAGCAGCTTAACCGTTACGCCATGGAACATCTCAGTTAATAATAATGAAAAGAAATTAAGAATTATTGATGATACGTACTTTGTTATGTTCTAAAAATTCTTCGGTGAATATAGGTATGTCTAGTTCTGTCGGCACATCTTCTTGTTTGAGAGACTTCTGAGCTGGGGGATTGTTCTGAAAAGAAATCAATTTGATATATATATATATATATATATATACATATATATATATATATATATATATATATATCTTATATATAAAATTCTGTAATGATGTATGTAAATATACTCATCCTAAGCAATTATTCGGATATTGATAAATCTT